GCCGCGAAAATTTGATCTTCATGACTACCAAAAAACAATTATTCAATTGTGGGACGGCTGGATCTATTACTTTATACGTCCTAACACTTGTTTGATGCTGATTATCACCTGTTGTTATTATTCTAACACGTTTAATGCTTGTTAAAATATAAGAAAAAAATCTGAGACTGATTTCGTCATTCTCATTTAAATCTAATCAAAATCTGAGGTTTCCAGCAATAAGAACTGGGGGAAAGGGAACTTACAACTTTGATATAAAAACCTCCTGAAGAAAATATCAGAAAATGAATAATGATGAGAACTATAAACAAGGATTACGATATTGATATCTGAATGTGAATAATGATGGGATCTGGAAACAGCGATTACTATGTTGATATCTGAAGGTGAATAATGATGAGGGTTATAAACAGCGATTACGATGTTGATATCTGAAGGTGAATAATGATGAGGGCTATAAACAGTGATTACGATATTGATATATGAAGGTTATGGTGGCTGATTCGGGACATCGTAATATCGCTTCGTTAAATGGGAAGCGAGATTGCGATATCACGATAGAACGATGCGGTACTACGATAGCACGATGCGATACTACGATAGCACGATGCGATATCGTGGTATTGCATCGCGCTATCGTGGTATCGCATCGTGATATCGTGATATCGCATCGTGGAATCGTGGTATCGCATCGCGATATCGCAATATCGCTTCCCATTAAACGAAGCGATAGTACGATGTCCCGAATCAGCCACCATAGAAGGTGAATAATGATGAGGGCTATAAACAGTGATTACGATGTTGATATCTGAAGGTGAATAATGATGAGGGCTATAAACAGTGATTACTATGTTGATATCTGAATGTGAACAATGATGAGGACTCTAAACAGTTACTACGATGTTGATATATGAAGGTGAATAATGATGGGAAGCAGAAACAGTGATTACGATATTGATATTTTGAGGTGAATAATGATGAGGATTATAAACAATGACTATGGTGTTGATATCTTAAGGTGAATAATGATGAGGACTCTAAACATTGATTACGATATTGATATTTTGAGGTGAATAATGATGAGGACTCTAAACATTGATTACGATATTGATATTTTGAGGTGAATAATGATGAGGACTCTAAACAGTGATTACGATGTTGATATCTGAAGGTGAATAATGATGTGGGCTATTAACAATGACTACGACGTTGATATCTGAAGGTGAATAATGATGAGGACTGTAAACAGTGACTACGAAATTGATATCTGAGGGCTGTAAACAATAAACTCTCTAATTGTATCCCTTGTATATAAGTAAATATTGACCATCACATGAGATATACTGCAAGAAGAAAACAACAATGTTTCCAGATTTATATGTACAAAACGAGAGTTGTTCATCCATAGTCTGTGATTTATAGGTAGTTATCAGCTGACATGACCGAGAGAGGAATACATAAACAGGAAAGTTCAAGATTAAGAGGAAATAGCTATGGTACTATTTTGTTATTTTGATCATTAACATAAATAATACCGTTAAACCTATAGAATACGCGCACGTGCTATAGAGTAACAGACGCGAACTTAGTTGGTGGTAACAAAGAATTGGGAACACAGACACCTTGCTGGCACGCAAATAAATTACAGTTCTGTTTAAGAGGAAAGGTAATTGTCATAAAAACACACACAAAATATTCATAAAATGCTATATGAATGCAACTTATACATAAAATTACATTTTAACGAATAAATGAACAGCAATAAATTTATAAGGTTAAGAAATGAGTGCTGTTTGGAGCAGGTGCCCGGAGATGAGAGACAGATTTACAGAATTTGAGAGAAGCTAAAATTTGACAAGAACTTGTTGCATGAATCCAATTACATCCTTCGTCTTATGAATACGTAATTAATGTCATCATATTACTGTCACATAATCTCTCCTTGAGGTTTTGCATTGAGATGATCGCCTTGATTTGACGATTTTTCCTTAATCAAGGTAATATATTCAGAATTTCATATGAAAGTTTATCTCTATATGATGCATAGAAACCATCGCTAATCACAATATAAAATGTGTCAGTCGGGGAGACAATCATATCTTTGACTTTGAAAAGAAATTAACTATGACAATAGCTATCACCTTATTGTTTCTTTTTAGTCTATGGATAACAATAAAGACGGGGATTAATAGGATTATAAACCGGCAGATAATTAAAACAATTTTATAAAAATGTAACTAGTCTGCTTTATGTTAATACCAGACTTTTTATTTGTGCCCGCAATATTTTTGTTTTGGTGAAATTCAACAGAACGTTTCAGCTAATTGGTGGTTGGCTTTAGAAACAGAATACTTCAAGTTCTTAAGTTTGATAAAATAACTAAATATCAAAACCCGATGATATATCATAACGATGTAAAAACAATGTTCGTTTATGCTATCTGGTACGGAATTTTCGAGACACTACACCATATTGAACACAAAAGTAAAGATAGGTGAACTATTTGTACGACTGTGTTGTCCAGACTGTCTGCTATGATTGACTGATGGCTGTCTGGCTATTTGGCGATGAATGCTGACTGAAATCCCAACCCCCACCCCCACATGCCCATCCCCGTGTACCTTGGAAAGGTGGGTGTCGCTTATTATCTCCAGATCTATATAGCTAGTGTCGTTTTAAATATGAAAAGTTGTCTAGTGTATACTTGTAGTGTATAATTGCGTCTCTGATTACACCTACCACCATTTCTACATTATGTAGCTGGAGAAGGTGCTAGGACCCTTCTATATTCTTAGTTGTGGTCCTTAGCTCATTTGTGTTTTCCAAGTTGTGTAGTTCTCAACATTAACTACATGTGTCGTATTTATCACATGTGAAACAATATCTGTCTCCTGTTTACGTTTCTTCAATCATGTTTGTCCGCAGCATGAAGTTTTGCTACGTGCATTTCACATATTTCATCATCTTTTGAAATGAAATCTAATCTGTCTTTTGGAGAGGGTATGGGGCGAGGGGAGGTGGGAGGGGTCATATACTGAAATGGATATTTAAGATATTTTTAATATTAATGTAAAAGATTAAGTATTTCCTGGGTAAATCAATACATCAGTCGTTTGAAATGTAAAATGTGGATACTACACCTAAAATGCACCGATTAATATTACATAATAATGTGTCTACTGTTCCTTCCAACATTTCATCGAAAGTAAAATAATGTTTTTCCCATGAAGTCCGATAGAGTCATATTTTCATCAATAAATTATATTCTTTATTACGACGTGTCATCCGTATCGTAAATGATAAGTATATATATGGCCTTGGTCAGAAAACTTACTATACGATTAACAATATTTTCATAATTAATCGACAAAAGTTGGAAAACATAGAATCGGACAAAAAAACACACACACGACCGTGAAAGGTCAGGTCACATTTTTCAAACACATCAGTCTTCTCAAGATGGTGATGACTTTAGAGATAAATATTCGACTTGTTGAAACCATCTTGCAAGAAATGACACGGGGCAGTCTGTAAGTCGTCACTTTAATTGCTGTATAGCCGCGTGTTAAACTTACTGTAGAGTCATTTAGTGTAATCTGCTATTGAAAACCATAGTTCGCAACATCGGTACACACAGTCAGGACAAAGATAGGCATCTCAGGACAGCACAATCCACTGTAAACGCTAAAACGATTGTGATTTATTGCTCAAATTTCCATTAGAGAGTGGAAGAATCTGGATTTTTTACAGGAAAAATACGGCACTTTCATATACTAATTACCCAGTAATATTACTACTATGATAATAGACAAATAATTATCTTGGTAAATAATCTATATTGTTTTCTTTTCGTCGGTATGATTACTTGTTCGTTTCTTTTTTTCTTTTGTATGTTTTTGTGTTCACTTTTTTTTGCCAGATATAAATTTAAAGGGATATTTAATTACCGAGATCTTTAGCGTTGTTGCTGAAATTATTTTGGCTATGACTGGGTTGGACAAACCAGAGACACAGTTCAATTCGCATTGTTGTGTGTAAATGAATAAATCTAGTTATGCGCATATACATAACACTTTTTTTCCAAAATGAATGAAGCACACGGCGTATACATTCCATTTTTATTGAAGATAATTATTCTCACGCAAGAACACATATTCCGATATAACATTAATAAAACATTTGTGATTTTTTTTAATCAGATGCTAATACGTTGGGCCTATATGTTGCGATCTGTTGCCATGTATTTCTTTGTAAATGCAATAACTGCCTTATGTAACAAATCTCAATGTAAAATCTGCGTTCTATTTTCATGGTGTGTCTAGTGCTTCTAAAGCGAGATAACTCGTGGTGGTTTGATAAAAAAAACATGTGGCTGGACTAAAAGCCTATTTTACTTTCTAATGATGACTCGTTCTACTGAGGGAAAATTCATGTTGTGGAGTGAATATCTTCGTAAATTTTATAAAAATTACTTAATGGAATTGTGTTAAAACGATTTCATTTTATTTAATAAAAACTTAAAATAAGCAGATGAAATAAAAAGAAATATCTGAGCAAACAAATCAAACTTGATCGTTAATAAATCTGTTTTGACAAAAGTTATGTCTTCCAACCAACTGGTAATATTTCCAATATAACACACGGCCTGTTATCCATGGTCTGGCACTGGCCAGTACAGTGTTTATTGACCACTTGATCCTTGAGGATCCTGCAGGGAAATGCTGATTAAAAAAAAAGAAAAATCTAATAACTTGTTATTCATCGTCAACTTGGATAAGTCGTAGAAAATGTTGTATTTCACATGAACTGGTTTCAAGAACATCACACATTTTCCTTGTGTATTTCGGGATAATCAACGCATAATGAGTGTTCTCCCGTCTTACAGCTTACTGTGTTTACAACAAAGTATCATAAACTGTCCTACTTTGCGTTTCGAATACGCATGCGTAGAGAGCACCTGTTAGCTGATTACGGGTTTGCTGTGCAGGAGGCCGCGGAGAGGACGGAAAAGGATATCAATTTGGATGAATCTATGAACGCGGAAAGAGATTTTTAAGACTTACAGTATAACCGTATCCATTGGTTACTGTACCACTATGATACAACATATGGAAAAGTCGGAATTTGACTCTCAATTACAAAGTAATACATCAAACTCGGAGCATGGCAGCAACTCCAGTCAGGGGGAAGGGAATGACGAAGGTGAGATACACAGTCGGAAATGTGCACAAAATATTTCACAGGTCATATAATCAGCCGGTGTTTTTAATGCAATGTAAATATTTTGGCTTTGTATGTGTGCTTGCATACAGAAATCAACAAATGATGAGCTGTCACGGATAAAATCGGGCAAAAACGTGTACTATGGCATGCCGGTTTGTGGAGCTTTGCACCGAATTTGTTGACATGTGGTTTAGTATTTGAGGCCCCCGAGAGGGTAATGAAGAGGAAATCTTGTCCACTGGCAACCCTCCCAGATGTTGCGTACATCATTGTCTACAATAGTAAATTAATACGTTGGGATGTCAAAAATATTAGTGTGATTTCTTACAAATCTTAATTAACAAGATTAAAATTATATATAGTATTACAGAAAAAATACTACCAGACTATGTCATGTGTTTAGCCCAGATATGAATATTCATAACATTATATCCATTTAAACAGAACATTACATTCATAAGTCTGTTTAACAGCTTGTTGTAAAGACAAGTTAGAAAGATCAAGTAAATTGAATGAATTAATAAGTAATTGTTGTCCAATTAAAATGCTGATGCTGTTTTGATGGGAGAGAAAATGTGCCATATCAAGAAAGTTGGCTGAAAAAATTGATTACTTAGTTTAATGAATTACTTTTTTCAATCAAAATTGTGTTAATACCAAACTTTACAGTACTCAATCTTTTTTAATTAACTTAAAAGGACTATCAAGATGATGTCATTTAATTTGAGGTTTAATGTCAATGATTTAAGCCTTCGAGGATCATTTTGGGTTAATAAAGAGGTACCATTGTAAATATCTACCATCCATAGTAACCAAATATTCCTGCATTACCAACAGCATCAAAAACATTTCTCAGAGTGGCATTGAGGCAATTTCATTTAATCCATATAACTTTTTTTAAATGGTAGCATCAAAATTAAATGGACAACTTTGAATGATACTTCTGACCTTTACAGTCTGTATTACAGAAACTTTTCAGTATATGCCTCAATACTGATTTGAAATACTTATTATGATTCCTACGTCATCTTAGTCTTCTCAAAAAAGGATGTTTTGGTATATTCATTTATATGATTACAAGCTTTACACTTCTGATATGTAAAAAGTGCTGACAATAAGTCTTTTGCAGATCTAAATCAAGTCCTCAGTTTATATGAGATTTTATGACAAGTCTTATCAGAAGCTTTTAATGTTTGTGGGTCAAAATGACAAGCAAATGATAACTTTGAGACAATCTAGTTCCATAAAATCTCCAATGAAATGAAAATTAAAAGAATTTAAGATACTTGTATCACAATGACAAGCATTTCTTTTTACCACAAAATTGAGAAAAGTTGCATTTTGTATGTTGTAATGTCTAAATATAAAGGACAAAATGGAATGGAGGCAGCCATTTTGTTTCGCCATTTAAATCTAATTTTTGACATAACATCATTGTCTATATCGTAATGTCATACACAATTTCTGACTGACACAGCCAATGAAAAATCCCTCGGGTTATATTACATTAATGACATATGGCAAAAGCAGTGATTTTCTTTGCTCTGTTGTAAAGCCCAGTTGGAAACCATATTATGTTCCCCAATTATGAAGACAAAAGCAGAAATATCATCCTTATGTTCAAGAAAATACTTTTTTATTATCCCGATTCGTGCAGGTACAAGCTGTTATAAAAAAACACTGAATATGTGATCATTCATACATGTATACAGTACACATATTTGTGTAAACGAAAACTGATTCACCCTCAAATATGTTGGATGATGGTGTTCAACTTCTGATTATTACAATTTTATTTTCACTTAATTAAACATGTAACCAACATTCTCAAAAAGAAAATAACAAATGTTGATTAGTATATCATACCAAAGGGAGATAACTAACCAACAACCAAATCTTGTAAGTCTCATCGGTCTTGTTTATACACCCTGATATTTACATTTGTACTTAAATATGCATTTATTTATTTGCGATATTTTCATCTCAAAGGTTTGATCAGTCTGACAAGAAAAAGCACAGGTGCATTAATTCAATGATGGCCAAAATATTGCTGAATACATATATATTAACACCTTCATGTATTTGTATACCAGATTTCAAATTGTTCTTGCTGTTACTATACTAGAATTTGATAACCAGTGAACCAGTAGGAAGGTTTGTTTAATTAATGTCTTCAGAGAGCTAAAACAAAACAAAAAATTGATACAAACAAAAACTTACTTGAAAATGAGTTTCCATGACCATATGTAGAGTTTCTCATTCCAGACTTATCAGATAAATATATGTCTGTGTATTGGATTGGAAAAGTACATAATGTATACACAGCTACAGGATGTCATAAGTTCACACACCTCAGATGACAAGTGTCGGTCAGTGCCCTGAAAGACTAAATAATTGTATAGAAACATCTATTTATGATCAGAACTGATAACTCTAGAAAGTATTTACGATATGAAAAATAAGATGTTAAAAATTCAGTTTCTACTGGCATAAAAAATTATTGTAACTAGAAAGCATATATGGTATAATGCAGTTCTTCTGATGTTGCCACAGGACATCATTAAAATAAGATTGGTTATGATGAATTACATGTCCTGAGGAATTATCCGATAATCTGTCTTAAACCAAACAGGAATGATATCTGGTGCCTTATAGTTTTACTCCGTGTTAAAATAGGCTCCAATTCATACATTTTAACCTCAGACTGCTTATAGAGACCACCTACACATAATGAATGTGAATGAAAGATCTACAGAACACTCCAGTCTGTGTAGTTAAACCTGTCTATAGAGACCTTCTATACATAATCAATGTTAATGAAAGATCTACAGAGTACTCCAGTCTATGTAGTTAAACCTGTCTATAGAGACCTTCTATACATAATCAATGTTAATGAAAGATCTACAGAGTACTCCAGTCTATGTAGTAAAACCTGCCTATAGAGACCACCTAAACATTTATAAGACTTGAAAAAGTTAGATCAATGTTAGTTTTTCTTTTTTCTATTTTTATTAATGATTGTATTATCAACACTTCATGTATCAAAAGTACAGGAAATGAAATAAGTATAAACATTTAATTATTTTACAACAATACCAATGGTAAAAGGTATAACTGTAGGAATAAACTCAAGTACCAAGGGAAAACTTGTGTGGTTGGGCAGGTGATCCCAGATCTTTGCTTGATAAAGGAATCAAACCTTGGTCACTTCAGTGAAAGACAAATGAATATTACATTTTCGTAATTTGACAAATGAACTTAACAATGCTTAGAAAATTAGTAGAATTCCAATAAACAATGGATACTGTGTCTGTTGTTAAAGGATGGTCAGTGTATGATAATTAAATGTTTTGTCTTTTATGTAAGGATATTAGAATTACTGGTAAAGTCAACGTTACAGGAAGCACAGCCTTACCCAAAGTGCTAGAGGCCCAATATTGGTTTCCTTACTGTCAGAAGTGTTAAATTAGATGAATATTTTACTGTTAAGCTGTATTTATGGGGTTATCTTTAGATATGTAGATTCTAAGTACATGGAAGTCTAAGTTTTTGCTTGTGGTAATTGCTGAAGATCCTCTTACCCAGGGTTTTTTCTTTGATTCAACCGTTTTTTATTAAGCATGGAAAATTTCCTTGGATTCTACAACCAACTTCAGAGATTATATACAAGTTGTGTATTTAATTTTGAACAAAGCATAGGTATGGTATGACAAAATTGAACGTTAAAACTTTATTTAAATAGATGTATGGTTATCACATGCCTATATATACAAAGACTTCATAACACATGCTTTTCAGTTTTCATTATAGAATTGTTAATGTATAATTGCAAAATATCAAATTTTGGTAACATTTTTGGATGCTGAAGTAATGGGTGTACATGAAAATTTATGAAATTGACATTTGACTTTTCTTAGGTGAACAGAAAGCTGTTTTCTAATATTCTCCCAGAATTTCAAATGGGAATAGATCTTGTTTCATGAGTATTATTGAAATTGCATTTAAGAAAGAAAAGATAAAAAAAACCTCTTCCTATGACCATTATTGTACATTTATAAATGCCTTGCCAGTGAAACAAGGAATCTTGTATAATGTTGCTTTATATTATCTGGCTAAGATCTGACGACAAGTGCTTTATATGAAAACAGTTCATATTTCTCCGAAGACAAGATGATTTAAGGAAAGGGGATATTTTGTAAAGTGAATACAAGGGCTGTTCTAGTTTCATTACTGGGGAATTTGTAGAGACGTTGGTATTGTGAGTGCTGTCCCAGCGGTGTAAAGTATACTGTACAATGTACGTCCTGACACCCATTAGAAAACATACACTACCAAACCTTTTTACAACATGTTGATTTTTTACTCGCTGTTGAAGTACCCTGTCATTTTAAATTCTGCTGTGACATGAAAAGCATATTTGAAAAAGAGGGGTCTTTTCATTGTATACTACAATAGCAAATGCAATTATCACCTGATGATTAAAATGGGTTTACCTCTACTTCTATACCTGTGCTAAAAGTACATTTCATTGATTTTGTGCCATCATTAAATGAAATGCAATAGTAAAACTATAATACTTGAATGTTTACTGTTGGGCTGATGATAACCTCATTGGAAGTGTACAGTACAGTGGTAAGATAGATTTTGTAAGAAAGTGATAATTGTATTTTTTTCCATTAAAACTTATGAAATTGTAATAAGATTTTAACAGTATTGTATGTGATAAATGAAGGCATTTATATCTTATTTCTATATCTTATATAAAAACAATGTTTGATTAATGTAAATTTATTCATATTCATTTAGAATTATAGATTTCAAAGTGGCAGATTTTTCAAATAATCATCCATATTGCTTTCTAAACCTACAATTGCTGTTTGTAATAAAATATGTTTGTCCTACCCATGTGGAGGCAAGTAAAAGTGGGCCCTGCAAAATCCAGGATGAATATATTGATGATTGAAATATAGATTTATGTACTGCATATTCTTAGCAAAAAGAACGATAAGATTGAAAATATTCTGTTTTTTCTCATTCTGTTTTCATTGATGAAAGATGATTTGAGATGTTATATTTAGGGGCTTGTTGTGATATAGGTTCAGAAGGGAAATGAGAAAGATACTTTTAAAGATTTGCTTTTTGCAGAATATATTACTCTGTATTTTTTAATTTTTGTTTTGTTTTGTTTTTTTTTTTTTTTTTTACTGGGTTTAATGTCTTCACAACAGCCAAGGTTGTCAAGAGGGTCCCCAAAAGTGAAAAATAACCAAAGAAAGAAACTGTCGAAGAACCAAGTGTTGTAACGGGGGTAGCAGATCTATTTTGATCCCTTTAATGTCCCCTTAGTAGAAGACAGGAAAGAAAACCTAAATTCTGCAGTGCCACTTTTAGTTGCCTCTAATGAATGTGCAGTGGAATGCAGCAAAACCCTATTCTTGCAGGCTCCCTGGTGTTCCCTAAACTGAAATCATCAGAAAAACCACCCCTGATCTGCAAGTGGTGTCCCACTATGAGGTGCCTTTTAAATCATGCAGTGCAATGCATCAGGGATATTCTTCTCTGTCTCCTGCCTGGGTCTCTGTTTATATTAAAATTGCCTGATGGACAACTGTGTATTTCAAATTCAAACTACATGCTATCCCTTAACGTATAATAACCTGCATGTTAATACAGAAATAATGTTCACTTCAGATCAGTTGTGCATGCACATGACAAGCTCCTACACACATGGTTTACTCTGCTACTGTCTATGTAAATATGTGATAGTTATATGTATGTAGTTTGAACCAGCTGATAGTGTCAGTCAGCTGCAGGTCCAATCGCTATAGCAAACATGCTCAAACTTATCAACTGATATACTGGATACAGGTGAATGCTTATTCAATTTTATAAGGAAAATAATTTTGTTGCAGTTTGATATTTTCTGACTTATAGAATCCAACTGAATTTCATCTTTTATGTGGTTTGTTCATTTCAAATAAGGCAAATATTTTTGTGTCATAATTAACCTTTCAGATAATATCTTCTCACATTTGTTTCATCTTAACAATTTATCAGCTTCCCCTTTGATCTTTTAAATCTTTATTTGTTTTATGATATTTATGGAAGTCAACCTCCAGGTCTTTCTATCTCGTTAGGCTATAAAATATGATTGGTTTTGATATAGCTATTGGTTTCATTAAAGATCCATCACTTTGCATTTTTTAAGATATGTGGATTGATTGAAAGAAGAAGATGAATATAACATTGTTAGCTTTGTGGAATAGGAAAATAATTTAAAACTTCATATACTCATGGCACATCGCTGTATTCGCAGATGTTGAAATTACTCATGCAATATTTTCTATATTCTCAGACAATAAAATGTCATGTAGCAATTATATGCAAAGATATAATGAGCATTTCATATGAAAGTTATGTTACTTTTAAAAATTATTTCAATAAAAGATTAAATGTGAACTTACTTTAATGATATAATAATCAATGTATACTTTGATATATCTTCAGAATTAAACTTAACTTTCAAACTGATTGATAGGAAAATATTTTATCAATTGTGATAGCATAGACACTTTATATTATGTAGAGATACATGAACATAATTTATTTCAAAATAGTTCTTAAGAGTTGCTTCCCTTGCACCATAGCTCTCCTTCGTTGAGTGACCTAATTATGCATCAAGAATAACTTCCATGTTGGCCAGGTTCATTGCCCTGCGATTTACTGTTGTTTCTCGATAACAATGAACAGAAGACTACACGAAATAGACAAAGACCGTAAGTTCTTCCAATCTTCTTCACAGAATTGTGTCGACGGAGTGATTATGTAACCAGTTTGTGTTTACATCCGATATATCAAATCCGTACCAAGTGTCAACATTCGTTGATGATTTTATCGGAATATTTAGACGGGGAAAAAACGTCTGCTTCTTCTTAAAATGTAATACATACACAGGATTTTACATGATGAATTTTGTGATTTATTTCGTCGAGCTGTGTCCTGATATTTGAATTTCACCAATCGTTGAATGAGATGCCTTTCCTGCCCAGCGTTTTCGGTGCTTTGGTTTGGCTATCTCATTCTGTCCGTCACTGCGTCAGACATTTCGGATTTAGGAGTGCCGTGCCGATCTGGGTTTATCAATCAAATCGAAATGGAATACCTAAATATTTACTGAATTCGTTACTTCTATTGACTATATTTTGTGAATTGTTCTATATTTTAGTTTATATGAAAAGGTCCAAGGTGTCTGCATGTATTATCACTAATTAAGATTAATGAATAATTAAGACTTCTTCATAAACGAGCTTCTTGAATTATTGTAATTTTCTTTTCCCGTTTTTTCGGTATATTGATGGTCAGACCTTTCAAGGTCCTCAGCATTCTTTTTTTTCTGTTGAAACTGCAGAATATTTTCTTTGTTTACATTGGTTGTCTAAAATGTTACATATTTTAATTTATTACTTTTTTCAGGGTAGTGAAATATAGGAATTTATCAATTTGGTTAAAGCATATATCATCTCTGCAGGGAATGAAATCTCTTATCATATCTAGTTATAATATAACTTTCATTGTTTTGCACCTAAGTGGAAAAAATGCATTGTCTTATTCATGAAATAGTTGTGATATTAAATGAGAAACCATTAAATGTCCTGTATTTAAGCAATAAAATTAATTGAATTGGGAGAGTTAAGTTTCTTAGGCTAATTGATTACAGTAGCAATTTCAGCACTTGCAGACCTGCACATGCAGTAATTTTGCTCACCTAAAATTACCTGGTATACGGCACCTCCAATTCCACCATTTTTACAGCGTAACTTAAATATTCCTTGCATCCATGGTGTGAAAACAAAGATTTATAAAACGGTTCAGAACATTGCACAGATTATAGATTATATCATTTATTGAAATGACTCCAATGAGTTAAGCACAATTAACATGTAGGATCACTGAATGCACAGACTTGTCAGTCCTGTACTGCATAATGTTGTAGCTGAGGGTTTTGGATGGTTGCCCTGTTCACAAAAGTACTGGTTCACATACAGTTTTGTTCTGAAGAAATGTAATATTATGACACTGCAGAGTTTGATAGGCTTCCAATGTTACACGACAAATTTGATTGTTGTGTGTGGTGCAGGTCTTTCAACTTTAATTTCTGAATTGAGAATATTGCAAGAAGGAAAGATATAACAAAAAACATGTTCAAGTAATTAGCAAATTATCATGATCAGTCATTGTTAATCTTTTGGTTTGAGTGCAACATTTTGTTCATTTAAATGTGATGTCATGATCATCATGTCTTATCAGGAGTGTTGTACTTTCCTAGCATTTTATTGCAACATCATTGAAAATCCTGTAGCTTGTGTGGGCTTTCCATTTTCTTTCATTTTTGCATAGGAAGTCCACTTTATTTTGAAACCGAGAAAGAAAATGCTGAAAATGGCCCATTGCTCTCAGATTCAAAGATTTTCATTCAAGTACAGCTATGTTTATGTTCAGGTTTCCACACCATCCATTCCAGATATAATGTTATACATGTATAGTATTTTGTCAATTTACAACATATAAGTTTATATGATATATAATTATGTACCATATTCATCATCTTAATATTTTGCATTAATGTGAACAAAGAAAGTATTGGTAAACCATGATAGAGTGCTTTACCAAATCTCAATGATAAACAAATTTAGACTATTCCTTTTCTACTACGTGGATACTTGCAAAAGTGGGCTGTTATTCTGAAGAAAATTATCTCTATAGAATGACAATGACAATTGATGTGTTGGTTAAATTTTTCAACCTTTATAAATCTTAATTGTGTGTACAATTATATTGATGTCCATCTTGTCTTGCTGACCATCAGCTCCTCATTATGTCCTATTATGTAACTAGATATGATAGTAACAAGAGTCACCAATGTTCTTTTAAATCAATAAACTTTAAAGAATTTAGAATCTACCTAGATAAATAAATAATCCTTTAAGATCTGGCTAAAAAGGTATATCATCTAGAGAGGTCTTCTAAAGCATTCAGATGATTTTTTTCTGCTTCTTTGTGGGTTTTTTTTCTTTCTTTTTGTTTTTAAGGAATTAATTGTATGCAAATCTCATTCGTTACCACTGTTAATGAATTTTTCTCTCTTTTTTTTTTATGTAAAACCTGTATATATCTCGATAAATTGTACAAAAAATGTCAGCCTACCTCCATATCTTGCAAACCCATGTATTTGGAAAGTTTGTGGTTGATAAGAAAAATAATCACAGATGATGATAAATAATGGAGAATTCTCTATCAAATGATTTTGATGACATCTATTATAATTGTTATATAATGTTTTTGTACTTCAGCTTCGACCTCAGTCAATGAGATGCAGTACCCTCCAGATGTTAAGTCTGGCTTCGATGAGCTGTGTCCAGTGTGTGGGGATAAGGTGTCTGGTTACCACTATGGTCTCCTTACTTGTGAAAGTTGTAAAGGTAAGTAATCAAGTCATTAAGAATTAGTATATGCATGTCTAGGATCATTTTTAATGTCAGGAGGTAGGGTGGGATTGTTAGGGAAGTGGGTGTCTGTAAATTGTAAATGGGAAACTATGGCCTGTGTTGTTGACCACTGCTGATCAAGCATGAGAGTCATAAAAATGTAAGTACACATCAACCATGTGAATGATCCTTAGGGCATGTTTACTCAAAACAATAGGGAACAAATTAGCATTGTTTAAGAAGTCACTGACCTATAAATGTACTGAATGATCGATAGACACACGGTTATGTAGACTCTAAGCATTGGTTGGATTACCCAAATTCATGACCATTTGACTGAAACACTATGATATCTTGTTATTTCTGAAGAAGTTTCAAACCATATTCATTGTGTTGACCAATATTACATTCTAAAATTTTAAAACTTTGGCAGTCTTGATGTTTATTATCCTTAAAGAAATTCAGAAATATACGATCCTTAAACTTTTCATTGGATAATAGTTACGCTTAGAAAATCTTGCCTGAATTTCAATTCATATGAGATTTATGAAATAAATGATAATTTTTTTCTAGATTCTTTACAAGATTAATATTCTTTATAAGAAATAGTTCACAATTTGAATACTTTTCCAAACATTCTTGAACAGCATTTTATTAGATACAAAATCTAAATTTGCAATGTGCTTATATCTTTCTGTGGTGACATTACAATTCATTGATACCATGAAGTTAGGAAACAACAATGGGAACCTTCAGCCAGTCACAGCTAATATATTAAAAATGTATGATCAGAAAGTATCAAATGGGTGCTATTACACTGCCAACAGACAGGGAGGATCTGAGAAGTTATGTGATAAATGTATGGTACAAAATATACCATGTGCAAATCAGTACTTGTATATTTTACAACAAACCAACAAATAATTTTTATTGATTTCAACATGTATGATAAACTGTCACAATAGGAAAATTGGACCTACAGACAGTACAATACAACCTGCATCATCTGTATATATACCTTCATGGAAAATGGGAATCTGGATGTATAATGTGACAAATATTTGCATTCCCTGAGCAAAAGATTAAATTATTTTGATTTTTATAGTCAAAATGTCTTACAGAAAGACAAACAGCATATGAAAGGACATCAAATTGCAGATGAAGTCAAACATCAATGTTTCGAAGTTCAAGGGACTCCCAAAAAAACTTTGATACATAAAGACTTTGAATCATTCATAGTGGGTTAAATTGATGTTTTCACGTTCATGTGTATAGTTGATGACGCATTATTTCTACCTGAATAAACACAACAAATACCATAACACAAGTTTAGATGAAAAGATGCATTTTTATCTTAAAACATTTTCATTCTTAAAAAATAAACACATAACATAAAATAGAAATCAACGAGAAAGTGACAATACATGCTTACTTTTTTTACATTCGTGCCTTCATGTCACACAGTATATGTATTTTACAGATTGCTCTTTAATGAAATGACACACAGCATTGAAGTAGTCTTCACATATTACAGTAATCAAATTGAGACTGATATACAAATGAATTTAAAAGAAAGCAAATTAATATCATAATGTATTCTATTCTGGAACGACTGCACTAACATCACACATCTTAGGATGTATACATAGAAATTACAAGTGTTTGTCAGTGTACTGATGACACCCAGTCTGAACCAATAGGATAATGCATGATTGACAGATAAATCACTGTTTTTCATGTTTTTATGCTTAAAACTGAAAAATGACACTTTGGGAATGAGTGAAATCATCATACAAGTGAAAGTATTTCCTTCGATGTTTTTCTCCATTCCACAAATTAGACCTAACTATATGCAATTACTTAAATGGCAGCATTGAACATTACACAATGTCCAATTATCTTTGATTAAATATCATGGCTTGCAAACTTTGTCCAGTCATTAATTAACTTCATAACACAGAGCTGATGATAGTGGGCTATCGTAATCCTAATTTCAGGTAATTCTCTTTGTTGAAATGTGTGAAATTTTGCCACGAGGCGAAAATACCTGTACAATGCTGTACAGCACAGGTAGAAGTTTTGGTTTGATTCATGAGTTATCAATGACCGTGATATCAAAGCATATGGTCCGTGGGAAAACTTCAATACATCAAAAAATTTAATTTATAACATTGATTCATAGATCGAGGGGTAAGTTAGTAGTAATATATAGAAATGAAATATGGGACTGAACAAAAAAATTTGATACAACGGGAAGTTTGAATCATTGAAGTTGGATTCATGAAAGTTGACTGTAGCTATATATATATAACTATATCATTTGATAAAGCACATCTGATCAATATGATGCTCATGGACAGTCATTAGTCCAGAAACCTCTTCCCAGCCACAATCATAATCTTTTAATCAAAAAGAAATGTGTGTGCTAATGTGATGGTTAGTGTGAAAGGTGGTTATCATTGATTTATAGAGGTTAAGATGGTGCAGTGCCTGTATATGTATAAAAGGCTTTTGTCAAGTGAGCTGGTTATACCATACTCACTAAAATTAGTTTACTTCTTTCCATGATTTATATACCACCTTTTTCACACTGTATTGTTCAAAGTGATAATATTGAAGCAAATTAAAATCTCCGTCCAGTTATACCCAGTAGTTGTAAAAACTGAAGTCTGAATTCCTTTTCCCATGCTCCAGATACATAATAAAATACATGTTTTTAATGTATCGTGTAAGACCATTTCCCAAAATACTTTCAGAGAAAAGAAACAAATTCTTAATTGGAATATTTTGAACACATAATGATTACATAAGGTGTATGATCATTTGCTGATTATAAAGTACTTGCATCGAATAGGTATGGATTTGGAGATGGTTTAACACTGATCCTACTGTCACAACTTCTGTGTATATATTATGTACAATGACATATAGAGGGGGTAGCATTAGGATAAGCAGTCCAATAGAATGATGAGATATGATTTATTAACACCTGTCAATTACTGTATGCACCGGTGTATGGAAAGCTTCATTGTGGTAATTAGTTATGTGGATAATTTATGAAGGAACTTTCCATTAATCGGACCTTCAAAGGCGGTATTGCCCTGGTGGGCTAATAATCCACCTTTTATGGGACTTTTCATGTAATTTTGTGACAGATATGTAATAAGACAAAGTATTGATTTTTTTTATTTTTCCTTTTTTCGAAGTATGCACAGTGTACTGATGTAGAAGTATTCTTTCAAGCATCAGAAAATGGCATTTATAGACTCCAGTTTTACAAACTAACACAATTAAAACAGCTTTTTCTAGTGGACCTTAATTTGCATTGGTGAATTTGATCAAATCTCATATAATTAGAAGATATACTTTTGACTGCGAAAATATAAAATATATATAATTGTGTACATGTATATCAGACTGCCATGTCAATAGTAATTATGATGCACTGTTGTGGTAGGCTTGATATCAGAAAATATTTTGAAATTCTCTACTGGAAATTGTTCATTAGTTTTCATATAAAGCAACTGCTATACTTAATCCCCTCTCTCCATCCTTGATTTGTCACTAGTTAGATGTATATGGTTAAAATTGGTTGTAGGGGTATGGTTAAAGTTGGTATGTCAGACAAGCAAAACAAAGAATTATTTCATAAACCATACAAAAAGGCTTGATATTTATAAAACATGAAATTATGATGCACTACTGATAGCATAATACATTGTAGTTGTTATATTTTTGTTGCAGGATTCTTCAAAAGAACAGTACAGAACAAGAAAGTGTATTCATGTGTAGATAACAGAAGCTGCCACATAGATAAAAGTCAGAGGAAACGATGTCCTTTCTGTAGATTTCAAAAATGTTTGAGTGTTGGAATGAAGCTAGAGGGTAAGTGTTTTATATAGCTGTAACATACAGATCTTGAAGAAGCGGAAATAAAAAAAACTACTGATGGCATTCAAAAGCTATAATATAAACATAAAAAGGAGATTAAAAAAGTAATTGGCGAAACTTATTGTGTTAAATAAACTTAACTCACATTTATTTTCGCTTGTTCATCAGAATTACCTTTGTAATGGGATTTTCAAAAAAGACAACTTGGTTGAAACATGGCAATATGTGCTGCAAACTTGACGTCTTCTAGATAAATGCAGCCATTGTTTTAAATTATTTAGAAGTCTCTTGTCAGCTCCATCCCTTGTGATGGAAGTAAATTAAAAGGAGACAATACAGACATTAAAATTTGATATTGCATTCTCACAGCTTGGTGAAGCAGAGCTGATGAATAATTGATTATAGAGACAGTGGTGTAGAAAGCTTCGTATAATTGTGATCATTACATAATTTAATGGTGGTGCTGTAGCAGTATTGGTGTCAAAATGATAAAGCCGTATATTGGGTTTGATGACTTGTTTAAAGGGAAGCATTCTCAAGGAAGTTTGCTTGGTTAAATTTCAAACTCCACTGAACTCCCATGAACTTCAGATTTTAACATAGAATTAGATTATAAGTTAATTTTTGTTTTACACATTTTGTATGATATCGTTAACAGAATAGTAATGATTTAACTAAAGAAGTGTATACTGTCTTGGTTTTGATACCAATTTGTCCACACTGACTTAGCAGCATGTATGCAGGAGTCAAGAAATTTCTTTTTTTTTTTCAGTTTCATTATTTCGTGAAATATCACACTTTTTCTGTAATTTTTCTTGTAGCGGTGAGACAGGATAGGATGCGAGGAGGAAGGAACAAGTTTGGCCCAATGTACAAGCGTGACAGAGCACTTAAACAACAGGTGGCCAGGCAACAGCACCATCTTATGGCATCTTGTGGAATGCACCTAATGAATGGAATGGCTCCTCTCCCTCCCTCCTCTGAAGACATTAAACCTGACCCTGCAATCCTCCAACAAATGGCTGCCAGTATCAATGCAAACATGGGGAGTTATGGGATGAACCACTCCCCTCTTTCTGGCATGCCCTCCCCTGCTATGCCTGACTCGCCCCCTACAGATCTGAGTCGGGTGTCTGGCATGTCCCAGCATTCCCCAGTGTCCTCGCCCCCTGGTCACTACTCCTCCCTGTCGCAGCAGACCTACCCCTCCATGATGACAGCATTAAGGAACAACTATAGTCCATCACAGCATCATTCTCAGCACCACCCCCACTCCCATCACCAGCCCATCCACCCTCCCCATCACCATCAGCACCACCACTCACAACAACCCCACCACCACCACCAGATGTCACCGATGGCTGCAGCGCCACCTATCGTGCCAATTGTGCCTCAATTGATTATAGACATGAAAGCAAATTTGACTGACGAAAATGAAATATGTCAGAAACTCTTCTCATTTGTGCAAACTCAGTATGGTCATGAGGATGTAGTCAACCAGCCACTCAAACTATTGCAAATGATATGCAAGCTGTCTGACCAGTTGTTATTCCTCATGGTAGAGTGGGCAAGGACGTCAGTGTATTTCAAGGAATTCAAGGTGAGAACTTCACATTGTTAAACCTGCCAGTACTTATCACCAGACGACTTTCTAGGCAAGATCCAATAATAAATCCAATTTGACATTGGCTTACCTAAGTAAACTTAACTCTTAAAGCTGTTTACCTGATAATTTGTGGAAATTGTTCAAATTACTTAACCAAGCTTGATAGTCCAAAGGGTTTATCCTTGCTGTCAAAACCAGTTGTTTTCCCTTTACTTTCAATAAATGATGAAATTTGTTTAGCATTGATGTAATGGAAGCATTCTCTTGCTATTTGTTACCAATCACGTGTGATGCATCATTACAGGTTGAAGATCAGATGAAAATGTTACAACACAGCTGGAGTGAGATCCTCATACTCGACTTGGTTCATCGGCTAGTTCGGGAAATATGGTCAGGGGAGGTAACTCTAGTAAGTTATCTTTTCAAAATTTGAAAGATTGCATGTCATGTAATTGAAATATAACTGAAAATTTTGTCTATATAGGTCTGTAATTTACTGTTTGAAGAAAACTTTAAATAAAATAATATTATCCTCTAGATGGTGAGTTTAACATGGAAAGATGACCCGTGTGATAGATGGGAATTTCTAAAAAGATAACCAGTTGGAAGTTTTAGTGGGATTTTATTGGCATGTCCTATATTCCTTTTTACTTTAAGGTAGAAAATATTGTGTTGAGATGGTAAACAGGTTATAGAAAGAAAAAGAATTACACTATAACAATGTACTATAGGTTATTTGGCTATACTTAGTTGAACACTTTGTCGAAGATAAACAAGCAGCGGTGCTAGTACACTTCACACTGGTTGTTTGTCATCTTCTGGTTGTGTAATGAGAACTTTCATTCTTTTGACATAACCAACCTGAAGAAAATGTTCCCAAATGATCCTTGAGATGATTCCTATTAAGAAAAACAATTTCTTTTTACAGGAAAGTGGACAGAAGATTGCTCTGGATTGTCTGGATAAGCTTGGTCTGGCAGATGCTAAAGATCGAATTCGGGACCTCATTCGCAAGATGAGAGACCTAAAAATAGACATTAACGAATACCTGTGCCTAAAGTACCTTATACTTTTAAATCCAGGTATGTCTTCCATAAATATTGAATGTACCTGGAAAATATATATAACTGACATCAATTGGAATTGAATTTGGTTAGAATTAAAAGTTGAAATATATGCTGTTTTTATCTTTGAAGAGCAGAGCCATAGTATTAAGTGTTCTTTACTCTTTGTCAGTGATAGTGCAGTTACAGTGAAAGTTGGCAGAATTGAAATGCTTTTGTCAGTGCCTGTAGTGACATAGACCACATTGACCTGTGTTTTTGCAATCAAATTGTTGTGCAATTTTGAAGTATAATACTACCGATCATTGATTCCATTTTAATTTGTCCTTCAGATGTGCCAGGTCTCGAGAATCGTCACCATGTGGAACAGTGCCAAGAAAGGGTCAATGCAGCATTGATGGAATACTGTGTAAACTTCTATCCAAGTGTCAAGGATAAATTTGGACAGGTGTTGCTTCGGTTACCGGAAGTGCGACTTATCAGTATTCGTGCAGAAGAATTCCTGTACTTTAAACATTTAAACGGAGAGCTTCCGGAACAGACACTTTTAATAGAAATGTTACACTCCAAGAAAAAATGATTTCTCCTGTGTTTAGGCTAGATGTCTACATGTGGAATTGTTTATGTATATCAAGATTTTTACCTTTAGTCATATGATAATTAACATTGTTTGTGATGTCAGAATATGTGTTTGTACTGCAGCATTGTGTACTAGTATGTTTTGTAAATACTGGCACCAATAGTTCTACTAGTGTTGATAACTATAGACTCGAAATGAGGTCAGTATTCAACTTTCTTACCCCAGTTACAAACCATGTCAATGTCAGACTGAGGTCAGATCTACTGCAGTTTTCAGAGGTTCAAGTGCTTGTGGTTCTAGTGACAAAATCCATGGTTGATTAATTTATTTGTATGTGAAAATTAACACATAATCAAAACCTTATGATCAATAGAGAGAGTGCTAATCTTTGTTCAAAGATAATATATATGTTATTGACTATTATTTATTTATTGACATTTCATGTGTCACTTTTTTTTAATGATAATCTTCATCTAAACCTCCCCACATTCATCAAATATCCTAGAATATAATTGTCTTTTAAATAATCTTGACTTGACAGAAACTTTTTTTTCAGTACTTAATTCAGATTTTTTTCTAAATAAACACAAGTTAGGATGTCCTGAAAATAAAATAGATAATATGCATATTAAATGATAACAATTCTTTATTTCTTAGGTTCAAACATTTCTTTGAAGAAATAAAATTGACTTTGATTACAGTTATGAGAAACTGGAAGGTATTGCTTATTGCTGAAACTGCTGAATGGCATTTATATTTTTAAGTGCTTATGCTGCTGACATGTTTATCCAGAAGTTTTCACTGTAACTGTTTATTGTATTATAGCATTTGAAATGCTGAAATTTTCTTCCATTTATTTCTACTGACCTGTAAGTCTTTGTAACTTATGCATCCCCTTTTTGTTTTCATTTTTTTTATCATCAGTCTGAAATGTCTAAAATTCCTCACATTTTTGGACTGTCATCTTAACAAATGGATTTTCTTAATTGCCATCCAGTCAGTATAAATTATTCTATATTGCATTTTAATGTGTTTTTTCATGAGGAAGATCTATAAATTGTTATTGGCAACATCTACAAGTTGTTATGATAAAGTTTGCATATAGGATATGCATTTTTCTGATTTTGTTTGGAAATTGCAGTTAGATGGTGTCCGTTATATTTGTATTTATTAATGGGTTATTGCCCTGTCTTCAACGGGGGCACAAGCCAAAGGGTGCATATATATTACACATCAGGGAGAGACGGTTATCAAAAATAAAACCTGGCCCCTATCTGTCCCCTCTGTAAACCTTTACTGTCAGGTAGAATATATATAGTGTAGTGACTAGGGGACTCCTGGGGCCAGGTACATACCCAGGTAATAGCAATATAGACGATAAGATTTTAGAGTTGACAGCAACTGTATAACACAGGTTACTGATTTAATTAAACATGGTACATACATCGACAAAATATGAAGGTATTCAATTATTTGTTGAAACCTCCATGTTATAGGGCAAATTGTGATGTAGATAATTAAGGATGTTTGAATTTTGAATATATATGTCTAGTTTTTTTTAATCTCATTTAAAAAGGATGGAATATGTTTTATTTGTGAAATACTGTGAGAAAGTTAAAGTAAGAATTTTTAAAAGGTTTAAATGATGCATGTTGGAAAATGTATTGTTGACAGTGCTGTTTTGATTGTGCTTTTTCATTGAAAGTTAATTGTATGTGTAGTGTTGATATTTCTATTGTGGATATGAGTAATTTTCTGTGTACTTGATATTTGCAAACTCTATATTTCGGATGGATTAAATTGAATGTATTGACGTCAGATTTCACTGTTTCTTCAACACTAGGTGTTGCTTGCACTATGTTTGATAGTCAGGATAACAAAGTATGGAATAGACAGCATCACAGATCGTCAATATTGTTACAAAAAACATTCCAAATTGAATAGAAAAATCATGTTAATTACTTATTACTTTTTTTTTTATTTATTGTATTTCTTTTTACCTAGGAATAAGAGATAAGTTTATGCAACTTTATTTTAATTATATAGAATGTGAATTCATGTATTTTCCAAAATTATGCACTTTTGCAGTCCTCTTTTTAAGAAACTGCAATTTTAAATTCTAGTTAAAATACACTTGCTGAACAGATTATGGTTCTATTGAGATGTTAAAGGCCAAAATACCAGATTTTTAAGCTAAATGGTTTTGTAAATCAAACATGTAATTAATTGTAATGTATTTTTAGATACAGATGTTTTCTTTTAGATATTCATCAGGTATTGTAAATTTTTCTTGGTATGAAATCTAGGGGATATTAGTTTAGATATAATTTATGTTTTCCAAAATAAGAAAACCAACTTGAAAACTTGATCTTTCGTAATGGTGCATTCATTGGTGACATTCATGTTGTGATAAATTCTATTCTTGTGTGTACATTACTGTATTTTATTATGCTATAGTGCTAATTGTTTTTTGTGATGTTTTCAGAGAATGTGCCATTTTTATAAAAATAGTGCATATTGTTGGTGTTACTTTATGTCAATGCACCTTGACAGTTGTTTTTTTTTTTCAAATATAAGCTGAAAAAATTTGAAGTATACATGATTTCTGCTATTTGTGAGTGCTTGATAATCCCCTTGAAGTCATTTAATCGAAAGTTTTAAAGTAATATATATTTTTCCTATATGTTTTTATCCTATTTTGCTTATTGTAGAAAAATGTTTGTGTCAGAGAGGCACAGAATAACCAGGATATAGTGCTGCTGTCACTTGACAAGTTTTCTCTTTTTTCTAATTTTGATGCTTCCCGAGATATCAAACATTATTTCCTTGTTATGTCTTTCAAGTAGTATCTTGCTTAATATTTATGGTCAGAAAATTTTGAAGCTTGATATGGTTTTTTAGGGCTGATTAGTTTCCGATACGGAAAAATCAATGTTTTTTTTTTTTTTTCAGATATATATTTTTTTCTCTCTCTCTTGTTTTTTTTATCAATACTTTATGGTCTTGTGAATCTTGCTTTTGGGCAAAACATTCTGTTCATGTAAATGTGCCATACCATTTAGGATTATCTGACTTTTTGTATTTGTATAAGAACATTTTACCTTTCATCTTTATTTGGATGTTTGGTAATGTTTGATATTTCAATATTCTACTATAAAATCGTAGCACTGTCTCACAATTTTTGTTTGTATAACCAGCCAAAAACAACAATGCCCTCTTTCATTTGGTATCAGTCATGTAAACTTTATGTGATATCTTTCAATCTTTATGTCTGAAATACATCATATTAACTTTTATCATGGACCTTCGAGTTAATATCAGAGATCATTGAAATTATTTCGGTAAACTTGTTGATCCCTGTAAAATATAAAACAATTAATTTTTTGACAATTTAGTTATTCTGTGTGTGAAAACATGTTTGGCAGCTAGCATCAGGTATTTATACTCTGACTGTGATTGTGTAATTTTACTCCAGATAATGTTCTGAAGAAGTTAAACAGATGCTTAGAACTTGATTGTTCATTTCAATAGAACAATTCAATGATATTTCAAGATATATTTGGGTATATCACTTAATTAAAAAATAAATAGATAATTCTTTTGAAACGTGAGGGTCTGAGCTGTCAATCAAATGTTTTATATAGTAATCATGTGTTTGTCCAAGCTTACTCACCGAGAACAGTATGGCACTATTGATTCAGTTTTGGAAGCGTGTGTGTTAAGTGTTTTGTCAAGTGATGTCACAAAGAATAAATGTCGAAGCATCAAGCTTTGTATATATAGATTTAAAAGAGTTGTCGGGTATGGAGAGAGAAACATTACTATTTTTAAACAGGTGTTTTTATTTAACACTAACATGTAGATATAGCTCTCACCTACCTGTATACTTGATTTTTAATATTTATTTAATTAAGAATTTAACCATAAAGTCATATCAGCAATGAAATGCATTTTCATATATTGACCATGAACTATGTGTTTTAGTACTAAGCATTATATTTCTAAGCTCCTAATACATGTGTATAGTTACATGTGCAAGATCATCAGAATTCAGGTTTCAGGGAAATACATTGAAGACAACAAAATTGTGGAGAAAAAGGATATGATCTTTCTGAAATAACCATAAACTTGTCCGGTGATGTCTCATTTTGGGGATACTGGCACGCCTATTTTCTATCCTACAAAACAATTTTTTTAATGGATTGTTTAGGGCACTTACCTGCCGAATTAATAACCAACATCAATGTGACTTTGGATGAGAAAATCATCAAAGTTTACTGATTCATATTAGAAGACCTATGCATGTGTTCTGAATATAGTTCTGGAAATATAATATGGAGTCTTTGATATAAAATAGAGACGGCTGATCATGTAATTGATCGGACTAATTCCTTATTGAATGGAGACGAGAGTGGAGATTGAGTGTCTGATGCTGGTATGAAAAGTATGCAAGAAGATTTAGAAATTTGTCGTTTTAACTAGTTTTTCATCGTTTTCACAAAAAATATTATGAAAAGTGCTGCCGATTATTTTAATTAACAATGCCCCTGTTTATAATGTAGTGTCCAGATTACTCCGCACACATGAACACCTCCCAATGTGAGTACCATTGATGTTACCGTTTATATGGTCGTACGAAAGTACACAGATATTTTAATATGTATTGGTCATTGTCTGGGTCTCACCAGACATGAAATAAACAAATGAAAATTATGCCAAGTATTGGTTGTTTATCTTCAGTATTTGAGGTGAATTATGCGAGATTACTAAATAGATGGAGGAGTGATGTATATGGGGGGAAACATGAGCAACCTTAAATAGGACATTATGGCAATATAAAATCAAACCAACCCACTCAATTTGATCGCAATATGATATATATTTTGGACAGATACATCTACCTATACTGCATAAAAGGAACAAAATGTAAACTAGTAATTGCCTTTGGTTTAATACACTATGGATGTGCATATGTATTGTTGGACCGGTTAATGAACAACAGAGATAAAGCTGATGATGCTATACCAGACGTTAAAGGCAACAGCAACGCAATTATAATACTTTTGAATAGATGTGCAAGCATCGCATTGACTGTAAGACCGTTGTATAGCCTGACACTATTACGTAACTACAATGAAGATTGCCATTTGAAGACGGGTTATCGAATTTTTATGCAAAATTTGGTCGAAATGGAAAAAATGGATACCAGAAATTGAATGACGTTTGAAGTGTGACATCGTCGGACAGCTTATGGCCGTTGAAATAATTACTACTGATGAACAAGAAGAACCGGGCGACACTGGTATGAAATTAAGACGAAACCTTGACTATTTGAAAAGGAAATGTTCCACTTTTAACGATGAACCCAGGTCAACCACTGATTTATATATATAGGATTTTTATGTGGTAAAACAAGCGCAGAATGTAAAGGACGGAAACAACCAAGCGACAATGAAAACAAACATAGTAGCACTATTATAGGGCAATATTACTAATACATGTAGTAAGTATTACATTTTAAAAGGTATCACAGTTAATAGGGCATAAAAGAATAAGCTATACAGGCACAATAGACAAGGTATCATATCATACATCATAGTTAACATGACATAAAAGAATAAGCTATACAGGTAATATTAACAAGGTACACACCATACATCACAGATGACATGACATAAAAGAATAAGCTATACAGGTAATATTAACAAGGTATCATATCATACATCACAGATAACATGACATAAAAGAATAAGCTATACAGGTAATATTAACAAGGTATCATATCATACATCACAGATAACATGACATAAAAGAATAAGCTATACAGGTAATATTAACAAGGTACACACCATACATCACAGATAACATGACATAAAAGAATAAGCTATACAGGTAATATTAACAAGGTACACACCATACATCACAGATAACATGACATAAAAGAATAAGCTATACAGGTAATATTAACAAGGTATCATATCATACATCACAGTTAATAGGACATAAAAGAATAAGCTATACAGGTAATATTAACAAGGTATCATATCATACATCACAGATAACATAAAAGAATAAGCTATACAGGACAAGGTAAAAGAATAAAAAGAATAAGCTATACAGGCAATATTAACAAGGTACACACCATACATCACAGTTAATAGGACATAAAAGTATAAGCTATACAGGCAATATTAACAAGGTACACACCATACATCACAGTTAATAGGACATAAAAGAATAAGCTATACAGGTAATATTAACAAGGTATCATATCATACATCACAGATAACATGACATAAAAGAATAAGCTATACAGGTAATATTAACAAGGTATCATATCATACATCACAGATATCAGGACATAAAAGAATAAGCTATACAGGTAATATTAACAAGGTATCATATCATACATCACAGATATCAGGACATAAAAGAATAAGCTATACAGGTAATATTAACAAGGTATCATATCATACATCACAGATATCAGGACATAAAAGAATAAGCTATACAGGTAATATTAACAAGGTATCATATCATACATCACAGATAACATGACATAAAAGAATAAGCTATACAGGTAATATTAACAAGGTATCATATCATACATCACAGATAACATGACATAAAAGAATAAGCTATACAGGTAATATTAACAAGGTACACACCATACATCACAGATAACATGACATAAAAGAATAAGCTATACAGGTAATATTAACAAGGTACACACCATACATCACAGATAACAGGACGTTAAAGAATAAGCTATACAGGTAATATTAACAAGGTAACACATATTAACATCATATCACAGATATAAAAGAATAAGCTATACAGGTAATATTAACAAGGTATCATATCATACAAAGAATAAAAGAATAAGCTAATACAGGTAATATTAACAAGTAACACATCACATATCACAGATAACATGACATCAAAGAATAAGCTATACAGGTAATATTAACAAGTAACACATCACATATCACAGATAACATGACATCAAAGAATAAGCTATACAGGTAATATTAACAAGTAACACACCATACATCACAGATAATAGGACATAAAAGAATAACCTAACAGGCAATATTAACAAGTAACACATCATATATCACAGTTAATAGGACATTGAAGAATAATCTATACAGGCAGCACTTAAACAGCGAAGCAGTCACTGAAGCAAACGGACAGCCTCTCACACACTGACACATAAGTAACAGGTATAGACAGGATTGTCCCAAGTGTAACAATTTGCGAAACCCGGAATGTGATTAGCATTTCCTGAGACGGTTTGGCAGACTGTTCCTCACCCGTAAAACATCATACTTGAAGGATTGATACCATGAAGTGTTGATCCTCGGATCTTCGAGAGTATTCTCATTCCTGGAATTATAAAAGAATGTTTTAATTTAACTAAATTACAAATATAATAAGCAGCCATTCTATGCACAATTTTAAATCTTCACAAACCATATTCCCGATGAGTAAAAAGACCAGCCAAAGGATATATAAAATCATTATCGACCTTTCCTGATTTTCCCCCTATCCTTTGGTAGACCCATGGAACAAAAATGCCAACTCAAGAGACAGTAGTTAAGATTTAACGAGATAACTGATTTTTCTCCTTGTTAAGATCTTAACCAATTCTTCTTTAAATACAAAGCTGGTCTGAGTCTGTTTTCACAAATAAAAGACATCTCCATATGAAGTTAAAATCAACATCATTTAAAAGCTTAACAATATCTTGGCATGCTGTAACATTACAGTAATTTGACTTCTTGCCAACACATTTCTGACATTTATCAGAGTTGTCTTTCATACCATTGTCCTAAAACCACTTAAAAGTTTTCTAGGATTTCTTTACAATGCCAGGGTCTGAATCAATACGAGACAATTTGTTGTAATTTGCATAATTATGAAGGGTGTCATTTTGTATACAATTTAAATAAAATTTTAAAAATTGAAAGACCCAGTATATAACTCTGTGGTACTCCCCTTTCCAACCGCTTACAGTCAGAGACCAAGGACCCCAGTATATTCTGCTGCAACCTGCTACAGACTCATCTGACTAACAGGTACGTAGTTCCTCTGACAGCAGATTATGTGGTTTGTAGTCGAAGGTCTTGGAGAGATCAATGAGTATATAACGCACATATACCTCTTATCGTCCACGGCCTTCCTCCAGCCTCAAGTAAATGCAACAGAGTAGACTGGCAGCCATAGCCCTGACTGAAAGCAGGCAAAAAAGGGAGTAAAAATAGGTTGGTCCTGTATGGGATTTTTTTTTTTTTTTTTTTGATTTTCCGACAAAGCCTGTTAGTTAATCTTCAACTTAAGATAAATTTTATATTCTCATGATAGGAAATGAGGTGATAACGAACGTAACTTTTCTTAATTGAATTTTTCATTCGGTTTTTTGGTTCAAGACAAGTTAACGAGGTTGCTATTGAACACGTTGATTTCCAAAACACTGATAAAACGGGAATTAGCTTCTGTAAACAAAACGGTATCGCGGTACTAACGCTTTTCATCCCACCCCTCACAACCTAGAACAGGTCGGTGTCAAAATAAGATACTATAATTAATGGTTTTAACCAGCTAGAACGTTTCCGTTTCAAACAAACAAAATGTACCGAAATGTCTTATTTTCCTAAATTACCTATTTTATCATATAACTATCAGTGCTGTAACGTCATATATGCACTCTAACGTTTGCGAGTGAGATTATCGTTATTTATTTTTCTATCAGTAATATTAATAAAGTGCTGTTTTCATGAAATGCTATAAAAGTGTTAAAATTATATGAAGCTTTCATCTAAGAAAATTTATGTCAGTCGTCTGAGTCTCGATATAACGAAAAGTTCTATAACTCATTTTATCAATTTGTATGGAAACTCATGCTTGATCCTCTATATATCATGTAAAAGACCAAACGTAGGATAATTAAACCACTTCCCAAAACGAAATTCAACCTGCTTCTAGTCACAATTTTCTGATGTTCTGCGTTTTTTTCAATTCGGTCTGGAGGCAGAATAATTCCGACTAACCTGCTTCTTCACTTTCCTCCTTCCCAATATCACCATATTCGTGAAAGATGTATACAGCGGCAAGTAAACGTGGAACAGAAAATTTTGAGATATGTAGGTTGATGAAGTCGACATCATGATTTTTTTGTTTTTTGTTTTGTTTTTAGTGTGTGTGTGTGTGTGTGTGTGTGTGTGTGTGTGTGTGTTGTAGTTGTTGTTGTTGTTGTTGTTTTTCTTTTGATAAATTGTTAACTGTGTTCGATTCGTAATAGTATAATTGAAAGTTTCGTTGTTATATTCATAATTATCATTTGAAAAAGTGATATCACTTTCATGGCTGGTGTCAATGTCAAAATGAACACATGGTCCTGATCGTATATTTACAAGTGAATCTTTCTTTTGATCATATTTTGTACTCGCTAAATTTTGCAAACATGTCGGTATCCTTTTCATTGGTTTACTGAAGCGTCCACTGATAAAAAACGAGAATGTTTGCTGTTTACAATACAATTTAATGGCAAAACATAATGTATTTCTACGCCAGCTGTTTGTACAACCCAAATAAAACGCACGAAGTATGCTGCTGTTCTAAGACAAGAAAACGAGAGACTGTTAATGGTCTTCACAAACCTCGTTTAGTGTGTTATTATTTTATCTTTTAAACCACGTGAATTTTCTCTGGCTACCCCGGTTTAACATGATTAAAAAACAGGATCTGTGATAAGAAATTTTATAAATCATTTCAAAATTAACGTTAAATATAAATATAATTAAACCTTTTCGAATGTTTCATTAAGAAACTGTACAATCCAAGAATTATAACATTTACAATTATGCTCTTATGTCTGTAAATCATTTTTATATATTGCTGAAAGTGTGTTTTGCTGGTAACAGCATCAAATCTCGAACATAACATTATGGAGTTCAGGCTTGGCTGTGTTTTCTAAAGTTAGTTTTGATGGTAGAATCTCTCTTGGGATCGAGGAATATTTTCCCTTCCATGTTTGTGTAATTCATGCATTCCTTTATGGCCATATTTGGAACCTAGAACAAGAATACAACGATAAGTTGAAAGTGTTCACCAGTATTATACGAGCTAAAGGCAGATGAAAGGTCAAGGGATAAATGATAAAATCTAAAAGCTGTAAAATCGTGGAAGTTAATGTCATTAGATATTTTTGTTTTCAATCACTATACACTGCAGTACTATATACGAGTATTGAGCACTGGGGAACTGTGCAATTAAGATATAAAGATAGTTCAGAGACTGTTAATAGTTAAACCTGCTGTGCTTTACAATTGCTTCACGCGCACCTTCGCTGGGGCGGGGATGTATTAACTTAAGAGAAAAGTACTGGCCATTTATATCCGAATAATGACAGCACAATCATAGACATTCAATGATTATCACAGCTGTGAATAGTTATCAGGTAGTGATAGAGCAGAGGTACAATAATCTCTTGTATATTACCGAGACTGACCATCTTAAAAGTATACCATACTATAAAGGTATATGCCTTTTCCGACAACTTATATGATAAGATACTAATATCGGCCAGAGTTACTTGCTAACAATATAACAGAAGTACTTAATTATATTATGATTATATTTTTCTACCTGGTGTAGAGGTGTGTACTGGGGATGATGATGTTCTATAATAGGATTGTTACTGGCTCTGTTATAGGCAGTCAGGAAGGCCCATCTCCTCCTGTTACTAGTGTTATCACTACTCGAATGGATCAGGTTACAATGAAAGAAGAGGGCATCACCTGATTGGGTATAATAAAGACAGCATTTAATACATACAAAAGTACAGATAAAGATAAAAACATAAAAGCGCACGACTTTGGTATATTTTGTCATTATAAAGAAGTGTAATTGTTCATTGTCATTAAAAAGAAGTGCAATTGTTAAACCGCGGGTATATGTTCCTCTGATCTAAGGATGACCAGGAGAGAAACTGACCTTTGAAATGTTAAAATGTTGTATTTTTTAAATCAGTGCTCATTATCAAAGGTCTGACATTTCATTTCTTTCGAAGAATTTGAATATAATCTTTAATTGATGATTTCTAATATTATATTTTAACATTTTGATAAAACGTGGTCAAAAAGTTAAATGCAACCATATAACCACTCGTTTCTTGTTTATAAGCTTAATTGTTATGAAATATAGCGATATGTCATACCTGCCTCCATCTCAATGTATTGATGGGGACAGCGTTGTGATATGTCGACTCTCCTTTCCTCATCCACAGCATACTGCTGCTTCACAGGCCGATGTTCTATTCGACCACACTTGTGAGATCCGCGTAAAATCTTTAAAGAAATAATGTTTATCTACCTATTAAAATCATGAAAAATAACTTAAATAATTTAACATAAGATCAGACGGCACGCAAATGTCAGTATTAACATTATCAACGATTCGATCTCCATTTTCGATAGAAATGCTACCACCTTATAGTAAACAAACGTAGCCACCAACCTGCAGACAGCTGTTTTCTTTCTTACATGGATCCAAAGCTAGAAACACTGTTCCCATGTCTGGGAAAAGGCATCCATTGTGATACCAGTACCTTGTATAAATATCAGAATAATTCTTACGACATAGACCAAAAACAGAGATAAATTGTATTAATTCAATTTTGCGACAAACCTTAAAAGTCAGCTCGCGAGGATATGTACTAAATGTTTGGGTGTACTAATGGCACTAATAATCGTTATAGGTATTGGTAATTATAAATATATAAACATAAACATAATATTATAACGCAAAGGTCTGTCATCTATAGCGATCGTAAATGCCATAAGACAAATGTTAGAAATGTTACAGTATACAGTAATAATCCTATTCAACATTAATACTGCTAAGTAATCACGAATTTATACAAAAATATCATAATGCAAACGCCTGTCGTTTATGTGATTATATATGCAATAAGACAGATCAAGACTTGTAGTTTAAAACAATTCTTTTTCGTTTGTTTATACAGTGACATTGTCAGGCAAATGTTAATATTCTTTATCATAAATTTTTGTCTATTTATTTCAAACTTAATGCCACGTTTCCGTGTATAGAACACACGGTTAGTAGTAATTACTATATATCAGTCTATTTAACCTGTTGAAACAAACTTAACAGTCGTTAAGTTAACCAAACAGGGAAATATAAATTTTGTTGATGTTTTACTTTGCTATCTCTTTTTACTGGGGTTGAAAAGGTGAACAGTACACGACTTAATTCTGGAAAGATAACTACTTCACTGTGGGAATGACAGGGTATGTTGTTTAAAGGCTCTACATGAAGAGTGTGCGGTAAAAGTTTATATCAACACTGGTATTGTGTTATATAATGTAAAAATGGTATTCAAATTACTCTATAAACAAGTCTCTCCAGGTAAATTGTTAAGTCACCTAGATAATAAGAGGATGCTGAGTATTGATAACACCCATTGAAAGTCAAACTCAAACTCTAATTATTGTTTTTACCACTTAAATTTTCAGAGGATATGCAAGTAGTACAGTTTTTTCTATTCATCTCATGTTCATTAGCGATATTTTACCCTCGAATATAGAACCCTCGAAAAAGAACCCTTCAAATAACGTGTACAATATATAGATATCAGATATGGGAAATATATAGACCTTTTTCTACCCCAACAAAAACGCTATTCAGAAATTAAATTCACCTGTAACCCACGTATGTTTTCTTTACGTCATTAGTTGGGCCTTAATGATATGACCTTTAGTGAAATTAAAACGAAAAAACTTAGAATTTCATAAATATATTAAGCAATCGTGAACTAATTATTCCGCAATCTAATTTCCTTTGGCGCCTGAAACGCCCTTATAGTCGAGGTTCATCCTGTCATCCAATCAAAACATACTAAAGTGTCATTCCACACAGTTTTTTAACATGTTTATTCAACTGTTGGAATGATCAATTAATGTCGCGGGAGGAGCTAGTTAACACTAGAAAGTGTGGTAGAAGTTTAGGTCGCTCATTATATTCGTTATGCCTATGTGATATAGGTGCCTCTTGCACGGACATATCATGACATCATCAGATGCTTTTGCGCATTTAGCACAGAAACAAACACAGACAGAGATAATTACAGTACTGTTGTAGTGAAGGAATGCATCAAGTTCATTTTAGAGAATAACATTTCAAAAATAATGAATTTTAATTTCTTCAACAGATCAAAACAATGTGAGTACGGATAATTGAGTTGTTGAATTGAGGTTTTTTCCCAAAAAATGTATGATAAATAAATTATGATATATTTCACACACTTCATCACCCCATGTGCTTGCAAGGGTGTGATATCAAAATAGCCATATAATAACCTCTTAACACAGACCCGTAGTCCTGATGCCATACGTGTCTAGCCCCTATGCCGCCTTCCTTCATCATAAGCTTTGTGTGGTAGTGATATATCTCTCCTCCAAGCAGCTGAAAGTAATGCAGTCAGCGATATAGTGTCGTAGTTTTTAATACGTTCAGGTTTTATATGGGTTGGATATCCACGACTTTTACGTGGTACAATCAAACAATACTCCATTCTTGAAAAGTTATTTGTAAATTATATACATGTATATGTATTATCATAGCGTTTTTTCCTTTCAAGCACACGAATCGTCATTTTTGTAATAAAATGTTTACAAAATATTTTTTAAATCCACAGAATTAAAGGTTCAAAAACAGTAGAAAGCTATTCAGTTCAAGACCAAAATTGGCTTTGTTTGCTTCCTATTTAGCGCCATTTTTACCTTCTCCATAACCCCTGCAATCTTCTTGCTCCTGGCCACCATCCCTGTGACGTCAGAACCCGGATGAGACCACATGACTTTGTCAGTTTTTTTCCCTTCATACTCTGTATCCTGTTCATGAGGAAGTCATACTCGTCATTCAATATTGACCATTATACAGAAATGGTATAGTGTAACTCTGAATATTATGAACATAAACGCTGAGTTAAGAATACCAGCTGAATAAAGAAATATTCAACCCACTTTTTGTTCTTATCGAATTAACATTCATATTACCAATGGATGTATACTGACTAAAATGAATGAGATATACCATTGAGTTGAAATGGTTGTACATATAATAAACTCGTTTTTGATTTTTTATTAAATCTCGTGCCCAATGTCTCTTCGTTACCTGAGATACTTATAAGGATACAACTAGTAGAAGAATCCTACATAGACAGGAACGTTGCTCATGCGTAGAGACAGCTGAAATCGATTACTGCTGATAACAGAGACCATGTAGGGTTTTTCAATACATATATTAATAATATGATACTGAAAGTTACCTTCCTGTCTATGGCAAAGACTGCATGGTAATTTAGCAATATATCTCGATTAATAATGTACTTACGTAATATAAATGTTGTGTAATGGCATCCGATCCCGTTATCGCTTTTTCTATCATAGAGAGTTCTTCCTGGTCCAGTACTCCCCTGATGAAAAGAACGGGTAGCTAATTAGTGATATTTGTTTGTTTTTCACGTTTTATTGCCAATAGTAATTTTGAGGCGGGAAGTGGTTACATCATTGAAACATGCGGGATGCCAATGACATGCTGCTCAGATCCATTGGGAGAATTATTTTGCATATTTAAGGAAGCAGAGGATGATCCGTTTATTTTGGGTTACAAAAGCTAACGTTCTTCTGACTGATTACGATGAATATTCAGTACATACAAAAGATCAATTTTGATGACTGAAAAAGTGTTCGAAGTATTGGTCTTTTGATGTTGCTTTTAAGCAATGTTTTACCATAACTTGTGTATCTATACCATACAATTAATTAGTTACGTTATAAGTTTTGACTTTTTTCATTATTTGCCAGAAAGTTCATTCAGTACCGTGCACATGGGTAGCTATTGTCATTATTTATCTGAACGCTATATATCAATGTCCCTTACCTTAATATTCGTACATACCTGAATCAATTGTTGTGGTTGCCTTTTATTTTTTCATTAACCTTAACTATTGTTAGCGTTATTTCCGAGCGGTTCTTATTTTTGCTATTTCCAAGAATGGAGAAATTAACGCTGTAAAATATATTTACTTTGAAAATAAAAGCTTAATAAACAATAGTCCTCTTAACGACTTATCCCCTGAGCATGAAACTTTGGGGAAATGCCAAAATTTACTTTCACAGTATACATTCATTTCGGTTCTTTACCTAAGCAATATGTATCCATATTCATCGAAGTCACGCCTTACTTCTTCAGTAACCTCAAAATTTTCACTAAAAGTATACTCTGAAAAAGAAGTCATAAATCCTTTTATAGAATAATAGAACATTTTATTTATAACATAATAAAGTGTACTTTTATATCATAATAAAATATCAATCAACTATACTGTAAAGAACAGCATCGGAAAGCTGAAGGCTTTCATCCCCGTTTCCAAAATACGTTGTACTACTTGGGCAAATACTTTATGATATACTGGTACTCAACTGAGCAGATATCAATCAATGTCTAGGACAGCAAATTGTAATCTGTCGAGTAAATAATCTCGTAAAGCATTCTATACAAGTAGAAGTTCTTGATCAGTATCGTATTAAAGAAGCATGCTTGCTCAGACATGTTCCTGGAAACATATGGAAATACTTATATACGTTTTCTTCCATCAAACTAGTAGCACGGCATATTGCCTGTCAAAACCTAAAGATGATGGTCATTCTAAAAGATGACAATATAACAGTATTATATTTGTATACTTTCTATAATACTTACCACAGATGGAAGACATACTGATCTGAGCTGATGTAGTGTATGGTCAGTAAAACACCATTATGTACTATGTGGTCAGTAACAGGTGTATACATCATCACATTATCTGGTATACTTGTTACTTATCTTTATCTAATGTAGCTGCTATCAGTATAGGTATGATATCAGTGAAGTTAATGCAGTTGTTCTTTCCATGTATTTACCTGAATGAATTCTACTCACAAAATGTAATTGAGATATTGCAGCAACTTAAAAAGGTATAAATAAACATCAAATAAACAGTTAAAAGCTTTTTCATGCGTGAAAATATGTATCTACATAATAGCTAAAGGATGTATGATACGCACGAAAAACTTGCTTATATTTCAGTATTATCAACAAGAGAATACTTCTTAGTCAAAAAATTCGTAATCTAAACACTAAATCAATACAACAACACCAGAAAGTTTCAACCTCGCCACATGCTATGTACATTTCCACCAAAACAGAAATTGAAGTCATAATGCTTAATGGCATTTTAATGGAAATTTGTTACTGTAGATCGGGTTGTAAAGTTCGAAGAAAGCGACTGCTGTAGAGTCTGTCGCGCGTCAGATTTTTGGTCTTTAGGTTTCACAATTTAAGCCCCTAAGATCACTCTCCTAGAGTTGTATACAGTTTGATTCGCAATTTGGAACTTCTGTATCGAATTCTAACGACAGGAACAGAATAACCTCTTTGAAGATCATGTCATTACACTCATTGAAAATTCATTCATCATCACGATTTCACTATTGGTACATTTCCTATTGGATGTAGACGTGTCTTTCGCCAAATATGCTCCCGTATTGCTGATAGCCATTCATCGTACTGCCGTCCGCATTTCTTTTATAACAGTAGGGGAATAATTAAGTTTAGTGACGAAAAATGCGGGAAAATGTTTTTAAATATGTATCTTCAAAACGACTTAAAATTACTTCGAAGTTGGATGTTTGCTACTTTATCAATTTAGGTGACAAAAATCCGTGTTCGTGGACATATCAGTAAGGAACTAGTAAACTAAATTCATTAAAAATCACGACAAATCAATGGCTTTGTGAGAAACTAATTCTAATTATGCCTTTTTCAGATTTTTTTCCCAGAATTTAATAGCACAATAATGATCACATAGGATCTAGTTTTCTTTAACATATTTGTGTTAAATTGTGGGCAGAAACTAAAACACCTACCGTTTAATATATTCCTCTGTGAAACAAGATTCGTCTTTTGTGCGTTCATAAAGGCGGATTAGCATTTTTTTCTCAACCACGTTCGGACAGAGATGTGCTTATGTATACAGCTTCCAACTTTTTTGTTCACTAAGAGTTGCCTATGAATTGATAAGCCAGTTTGTGCACATATCCACCCATCCATTCGCTTTTTCTTTTGTGACCATGCATAATTCGTTACCCATAGTGAAAGAATGCACCTTTTTAGTTTGCCTATTAGCAATGCATAAATCGAATGCATAATATTTACTTCAAATTGTTCTGTTTAGTTGAAAAGTTATTTTCATGAGTGTGGGTAGGAGAGAATTACACAAGATGAATATTTTCTCTTTTGAAACTAAAAACACAATACCGATGGTAATCTATCTTTTCAGATAGATGAGAACACAGTGCATGAATGTCCAAGATTGTCTAAAAGACACACAAATGAATAGAAAAGTTCAATGCAAGCTTAGAATTAGATAGAGTAGAACAAAATTATTTAAACTGCATCTTACAGCTGTTTCGTTCATCTAAGGCTCTTCAACAATGCACAGGACCTAAATTTTAGAACAAAGGAGGCGACTTGAGGAAAATTCAAAGTGATTGGGGAAAATGTCACAGTCGAGATGGGATAGTGCACTGGCCCAAAGATTTAATACATTTCATTATTTTTATATATCTGATAATTTCAGAAGAACGTCAAGTACATGTATACATTTTTAACGGTGCCAATAATCCAATGAATCAAACCGTGGCATTCAGGTTATGGCAAACCTTGGGATTAAATGTCCTTCAGTAGTGTCTCGGTAATATCAGTAATATCTCGAATATTTCATAAAAGAAACAGCTGATTTACATCGTACAAATCTCACTTCATTTTATTGGCTAGTTGTGATTCACAAAAATCTCGCCATCAGATGATACATCTTTTCATGTAACTTTCAGGTCATGTTATTTATGTATAGGTTACGTATAAGTTGTTTTTGGAATTCTTTTTGCAATGTAATGTTTAAGTTCCATACGAGAAAATCACCAGTGTTCCCATGTAATACTATTATACTGATCACTGCTTGTCACTTTAGCCCGTATATCGTTTTTAGGGTGTGAGGTACGACGTAAATTCGACAGAAAGCAAGTCTTGGTCCTTTGTCACTTACTTAAAATACAACATTCTTTAAACAATGGCTGATTTGTTACCATCAGAATAATATGCTTCATTACATCCAAAAGACATTTCAACATCAAAACATTTCATCTATTAAAAGTCATGGCAAGCTTCTCTGTTTTCACTTCATCAAGCATGTCTTCATCACGCTTTATTCCATCACTTTCATTGGGAAAACATCTATATCAATTTGATGGCAGAATAGATTTGTATTCCGGTCCAAGGAAACGCTTCCCATCCATGTCCGTGTAATTCGTGCATGACTTGATAGCAGAGTTTGGAACCTGTAGTTAACAAGTAGGAAGAAATGTATAACCTGTTCAATGCTGTAATGAATGTAATCGTTTGATATGGCCGCTTAAAAGGGCTGGAATATTTTTTTCTTATGAGCAATAAACGGTGATTTAATTGAATATTTCACCATTTCTTTGTTTGTACAGAACGAGCTGGTTAGGTTTCAAATCGCACTTTTGTCGTGATCACCTCTCTAAGTTATATGTAGTGATTACCTTGTGTAGCGGTGTGTACCGGGGATGATGATGATCTATAATAGGATTGTTACTGGCTTTGTTATAGGCAGTCAGGAAGGCCCATCTCCTCCTGTTACTAGTGTTATCACTACTCGAATGGATCAGGTTACAATGAAAGAAGAGGGCATCACCTGATCGGTTATAATACAAATAGCATTTAATACATTAAAAATACGGCTAAAAATGAAGGTATTAGCGCTCGCTATGGACGTATTTCACATGCACATTCTAGTATGGGCATCGCGAATCTGCGGTTATAATTTATCACATATATAATGTTCACATGTAATATCTTATATTGCTTACTTTAAATATGTTTGCTGATTATGTAATAACATGTTCATTGAAATCCAAAATATTCCCCTCCACTAATGTACCAACCTGCTAACCTCGAATAGCAAATTCAGCTACAAACATCGATACCTTCCATATCATGGTAAATTAGTAATGCGATAAAACCTGAATCTAACGATGACGTTTCCTATAAATGACAATGTTATACAGTTACAACAAAGCGATAGTAACCAGGTTCCATCTCTATGTATTCCAAAGGACAGCGTTTCTGTATCTGAAGCGTTCTCTCCTCGTCACATCCCATTTGACCTATGACCCGGTGGTGTTCCAGTCGTCCGCATTTGTGTGACCCTCTAAGAACCTGAAATCATATCACTGTTAAGCACATTCTTATCACAGCACATTCTGTACAGATACTGATTCGTCAGTGAGTTGCCCACACCATTAAGGTGTGAGACCGATTTTTAACAGTTTATCTGTAAGCTATACAATTGATATTTTTGTTCTTAATGAAAACTTATTCCACTGATGATACTTCATCTGTTGCATGACAGTTAGGGGCAACTGCATTTCGAATTTAATACTTTCTCTTCTTTCTAAACAACTGTCCTTTCTTATTTTTTCCTAACACTACCTCCTCATTTCTATCTGTAAATTGAGTGTTCTTCAGGTGAGGAAGGCTTTATGTGAAGTCCCTGACCGAGCCATATCGGAATCTATAAATATGGTAGTGACTTGTTCCTGTCCTAACGCTCAGATCTGTGGAAGTGTAACGTCTGTGTTAGCTGCTGGGTGTCTTCGGCAGTCTACCTCAGATTAGTAACGATGTAAATCGGCATCGGTACCACAAAGAGATTTGCACGAACATATTGCAGCCTCCAAAAAACACGTAAATAACACGTGCACTCATCTCCAATACATCGGAAGGTTGTTCTTAAAAGACCATAATTGTTGACAGAACGTTTATCAATGTAACATCTAATCAAACCTACGATAATGGATTGTTACCTGTAGGCAACTGTTATCTCTTTTACAGGGGTCCAAGGCAATGAAGACGGTACCCATGTCAGGGTAAAGGTTTCCATAGAGATACTACTTTTTTGGAAATAAGGAAGAAATAATTAGAGATAAAAAGTAAATTGATGAATAAATAAATAAATGAAAATAATAAATCCTGGTTTAGAGATTAGAAAAGAATCATGTCATCCTTAATGTAGTGAAAATGTGTCCTGTAAAACCATGTAAAAGACCAGACATGAGTAACGACCTGGTCATTTGAGGTTACAACCAATTATCTCCATCCTCGATAATCCAGGGGTTA